GAGTTTTTCTTTATCTTTTGTATAGCTTTGTTCCAATTCCATTTCCTCAGACTCATATGATTGCTTCAACGTTTGTTCTATTTCTTCGATCTCCCTGCTTAGGTTTATTTTCCTTGCTTGTGATAGTTGTGTCTGCCGAAGCATTTCCATTATTTTTTTCCTTCTCCTGTACAGTTGTCTGTGTTCTCTTTCTAGAGTGGTCCTATTTCTGTCCCTCTTCACAGGCATGTGCTTCAAGCAGACCTTGTAAGCTTTAGCTGTCAGTTGAGCTATTCTGTGTGTGGGAGTTTTGTCGCTTAAGGCCATCTCCCATTGAATGGTTGCAAGGTCTACATTTATTTTTTCCCAGTCGATCCTCTTATTGTTGAAATTGAATTGACTGAATACTCCTTCTCGCTTGTTGGGTCTCTTAGACCTACTACCGTTATTTATGCTAGTTTGCACTTCAATGAGCTTATGGTCTGAGTATGTAGTATCTGAGATTGCAATGTCTCTGATTAGTTCATCATTGTTTGTGAATAACAAGTCTAGTGTGTTTTCGTTCCTAGTCGGTTCTGTAATTTGTTGATTGAGCAAGAATTTGTCACAGAATCTCAAAAGTTCTCTGACTTGTGGTTGGTTATTTCCCAGGTCATTTCCTGCTATGATATTTGTGTTTGCCATTCTCCATCTTAGACTCGGTAAATTGAAATTTCCAAGGAAGATAATATCTGGAGCTGGGTTTGCTAGGTTATCAAGTATGTTTTCTATTTTGTGCATCTGCTCTGTGAATTCCTCAACCATTGTATCTATCAGTTTATATATTAGAATAATAATTAGGTTTAGTTTCTCTACCTTAATTCCAAGTACAGTGGTACCTCGGAATGCGATTGTCCCTGTATGCGAGGTTTTCGGAAGGCGAGCAGTATTTACTCCAAAAATTTGTCTCAGAAGGCGAGGGTTACTTCGGGACGCGAGTTTGTTGATACGCGTACAGGTCGACCTAGCGCGTGGTGGTTCGGCGATCGTCGCCCCTCCGCCCCGCCGCCCCTCAGTTTACCATTGTCTCGCGCTCAGTGACTACCCCCACATCAATTCTTCTCGCGGATTTTCAGTGTTTTGTTGGATTTTTGGTGATTTGTCTATACAATTTGTTATTATATATCTCACCATGGGTCCCAAGAAAGCCAGTGGTAAGGATAAAGGCCAGAAAGCTCATGTGAGGATGACAATAGAGGAAAAACGAGAGATCATTCGGAAGCATGAGAACGGTACACGTGTTGTTGAACTTTGTAGGCAGTACAACAAAGCCACATCAACAATATGCACTATACTTAAGAAGAAAAATAAGATTATGGGTGCTAAAGTGGCAAAAGGAGTAAGAACATTAACGGCACAAAGACCACAAATACTTGAAGAAGTGGAAAAGTTGTTATTAATTTGGATACACGACAAGGAGTTGAGGGGTGATAGTGTTTCGGAGGCCATTATTTGTGAGAAAGCCAGGGTGTTGCACGAAGACCTTCTAAAGAATACCCCTGCAACGAGTGATGCAGATAAGAAAGAGTTTAAGGCAAGCAGGGGCTGGTTTGAAAAATTTAGAAAGAGAAGTGGTATCCATAGCGTTACAAGGCATGGGGTTATGTGATGTGATTATGGAAGGGGACTCCCCTTCCAAACAGTAACTCCTCTCCTCCCCCCTCCTCACCATCTTCCATATGCCTACAGCACTCGACAGCAAGGTAAGTAATAACTGGAACACAGTTTTGTAGGTTTATTTAGATGAATTAGGTAAATTAGGTATAAAAATTTAGTTTGATTTGGGGTTTTTGGGGTAGTCAGGAACGGATTAATTCATTTCCCTTTATTTCTTATGGGGAAATTAACTTCGGAATGCGAGTTTTCGGAAGGCGAGGCGTCTCCAGGAACGGATTAAACTCTTATTCTGAGGTATGCCTGTACCTCTACCACCTCATTAGTTGAGTTTAGTAGTTCTGTGCATACCAGGTCCTCTTTAATATACAGACCTACTCTTCCATTTGATCTAGTTTTACTATCACATCTTTATAAATTATAATTTGGAATGAAATTATTTGGAATAATTTGGAATTGGAATATGAAAGGAACATACAAAATACTCAGGGGAATTGACAAAGTGGAAATAGATAAAATGTTCACACGTAATAATAACAGAACGAGGGGACATGGGTGGAAACTGGAAACTCAGACGAGTCACAGAGATGTTAGGACGTTTTCTTTTAGCGTGAGAGTAGTGGAAAAATGAAATGCACTTGGGGAACAGGTTGTGGAAGCAAACTCTCTTCATAATTTTAAAATTAGGTATGATAGGGAAATAGGACAGGAGTCATTGCTGTAAACAACAGGCTGGAAAGGTGGGATCCAAGAGTCAATGCTCGATCCTGCAAGCACAAATAGGTGAGTACAAATAGGTGAGTACACAGCTCAGGCTTCATTCATGCAGGTCCTTAATCTAACATATCAGGTAAGATGAAAAGGTATAATGTTGCAAGGTTTTATATCAACAAATAACTTCAGAATAAATGCACAGAAGTGATTACATTGGTAAAGATATACAGTATGTCTTAAGTACTAATATTTGATAACTGAGTAGCACAATATACAGTGTTTGAGGCATAAAGTAGGAAGCTATGAGGATTAATTTGTTCCCTGAGGACGGGAAAAATAAAAAAAAATTGTAGGTGACATATTTTGGGTGCAATAGGCTGAGGAAGTCAGCAAAATGTGGGCATTGACAGAGCGGTCGTCAGAGCTGGTCAGTGTCACCCGAGCTGACAGATGGGAGTTGCCACAAAGATATTATTACCTAATTATTTCAATAATTGTGTATCGACCGGGGAGCCGGTCGGCCGAGTGGACAGCACACTGGACTTGTGATCCTGTGGTCCCAGGTTCGATCCTGGGCGCCAGCGAGAAACAATGGGCAGAATTTCGTTCACCCTATGCCCCTGTTATCTAGCAGTAAAATAGGTACCTGGGAGTTAGTCAGCTGTCACGGGCTGCTTCCTGGGGGTGGAGGCCTGGTCGAGGACCGGGCCGCGGGGACACTAAAGCCCCGAAATCATCTCGAGATAACCTCAAGATAAGATGTCTCCGATTGATTTTTTCTTAGTTTTTTGCAGTAATATTATTCAATAGTGTGTAGTGTGATAGATTTATATAATGTATGAATCATCACTATACTCAAATATGGTGTTCATATTAGTGGTTCAATTATTACGTTCATAAAACAATAAACATTTGTAGTTTTGCAAATGCAAAAGATTTGCAGTTATTACACTTTATACACACATTATATATAAATATCTACATGTTTTGTTCACAACTGTACAACTAAGCTGATATAGTTCAGGAACTAAGAGACATCGCTACACTCAGTCAGCTGGTGGCTGCCTCCCTCACTCATTCAAGGTCAGGCTCACTAATTTTCTCCCCCAACACTACTGTTAGCGGTGTTATTACACTATATACATACATTATATAAAATTATCTACATGTTTTGTTCACCACAATTGTACAACTAAGCTTGTAGGGTGCATATTGGCCACCCTCTACACAGCTAGACAAGTCATGCAGACGACGCTACCTCCATCGCCCAAATGGCTCCTCCCAACATAATTACTTTGATGTTATATATAATGTGTGTGTTAGTGTAATAAGTATCTACATTTGTGTTCACCATAGAGAACCACTGAGCTGGTATGGTGAATGCAAACAACAGGTGGCCACACAGTCAGTAAAGACACTATCTCCCTCCCTCCCACAGCATTACTACTCTCACACAGTGCTAATTATCACAACAATCCTGCTATTAACACAATCCTGGTCATTTTTATCACAGGAGTCTCCTGTAATATTGTCATCGCTAAATGAGAGCAGTTACATATTTATTTGGACATTTTTAGGCGATGGATTGGTCGCAAGCTGAACAGCAATGCTGTTAGCTCATGCTGTTTGCACCAGCCTTGGTTGCTCCCACAGTACTGTGGCTCTCACACCGGAGAATACTGCCCACGATCTTTTTTAAACATGGCGTCTGTTAACAAGAGCCCCAAGGAAACTGTTGTGAACCCCGTGTATCTGCGGGCCATTTGAATTGTGCCTGGCACCCAATGGCATATATATACGCCATGCGCACCATGGGACATGTTACTCATGGCGTATATATATGCCATGCGCAGTTTAAGGGTTAAAGAGTATGTAATTGTGGTTGTTCTTGAACACATTATGTATAACAGGTAAATTCAGGTATGTAATAATATACATTCAACTATTTAACTAGCTTATCAAGATTAATTAACATTAACATTAATCATTAACTAAATGAATTACCTGAATTTACCTGAGGACCATAAACACTAGTGGCCTTGACAAAGACAGGAAGCTGGCAGCTTGTCAAAAGTCCCTTCATTTGCCCTTAACTATTTTGGTTGGATTTTAAAAGTTAACAGGGTTTTACCATTTACAGCATTGGTGGGTGGGCAGTTCCATGGGTTTATAACCCTGTGGGTGAAAAAGCATCTCCTGTTCTCAGTCCTACATTGCAGCTTGTTGAGCTTGAAACCATTGCTTCTTGTATATGATACATCTGACCTTTTGAAGAAATTGTCTAGATAAACGTTTTCCAAATTGTTCAGCATTTTAAGTTTCAGTGAGATCTGCACTGTCATGCTTGGTTTGCAATGGTGGTAGCCCTGTGGCCCTCAACCATTCCTGATATGAGAGCTGACCTAGTTCTGGAATGATTTTTGTTGCCCAGTTCTGCATTTTCTTCAGATCAGCTAAATTAATTTTAGGGTTCAGTCCCTGAATTCATTATCAGCATCTGTAACCTTTTCCACTACTGCCCATAGAATGGAGTGCATAAAATATTGAACTGCTCATGAATAAATTTATTATTTATTCAAATGACCATTTAAACAATACCCTAATATGATTTTTCTTTCATTTTCTAATATGAAATCTTTCATTTCTCCCCACAGAATGGCCCCACACGTCTCCTAAACTTTGCCAAGCTGACGCATTTCATCTCTGACATTGATGGGGTATATGAAGAATTTGGAACTATTCCTGTTAATATGCCCAAGTATGATGAATTACCATCAGGTGTAGAGGATAAAAACAGGTAGGCTACCATAATTAAAATGAAAAAAATCATTATGATAAAATTGTAAGATAGGCTTATCCCTAACACACTCTAGTGATACTAACCTGATTTTTTTTGTGTGTGTGTGTGTGTGTGTGTGTGTGTGTGTGTGTGTGTGTGTGTGTGTGTGTGTGTGTGTCAGCCTATCATCATCCTATCTTCTTGAGCATTCACAGTGTCACTAAACTGATGTTCTAAACTGCCTAAATCTATCCAAGGACTTATGAATTGAAAACAGGCATCACATCAATTTTGCATGCTGCTATGATTTTTAGTACTTTAGTTTTTTGGACTCTGGAGAATTTACACATCAAAATGAGATGTGCTATTCGAGAGAGCGGGATGCTCACATATCCACTAGAAGAGTGTTAAGCAAATAAGTCACTGGTTATAACACACACATTCAATATCTTACAAACCCAAGGAGGGAGGGAGTGTGTGTAAAATCTCGTTTACATGGGTGTTGTGTCCGGGCTAATCGGTTACCCGTGTCAGCTCCTATGCCAAATTTCCTGATTTCTGCCATGTTGTAAGGGGGACAGAAGCCATTACAGTTTATTTCTAACCACAAGTCAAATTATTAATGAAAAATGTTTACAGAATATATATACTCAACACTTATTATTCAGGGATAGTGTTAAATAGTATACTGTGTAAACTCATTTACCCAAACTATATGAGAAGGAACCCCATCTGGATAAACCAGACATCTGGATAAGCAAAATTTTTACGGGGTAGGTCCAAAAAACCAGCGAAGACTGTAATGAAATGCCATTTTCTGTGCGAGTCCTGGAGGCTCCCTGGAGCTATCCAGGCTGATATTTATATATTAACTTTCTGGCATCAATGTGCATGGAGTTCTTGCCTACCAGGGACCATGAACCAGAGCCTGGCCACCCTCAGAGGCACGAGAAGCAGTGGCCAACCCCATATGGTTGGAAGCATTCTATGTCTGCCAACAACCAGGTCTGGCACCCAGAAAGGTAGGCACCCCCAAAACAAACCCCCTATTATGGTGAAAATATTGCTATCAAAAGTCGAATGAGTGGGACAGAACTCCCAAAAGGAAAACTACCAACTAGCATGACATCATGATGTTGCTGCGCTGCTGTCTGCACACTCCCCCCCCCCCTCCCTGGGAGGGGAAGGGGAGGAGCCCCAGACCCTCATGCCAGCAATCCACCCTTCAGTTCTTATCCTTTGTGCTGCTCTGAGCCTTAATGCCCTCAACACCACCAAGCGCAAGAAAAAAAATTCCAATTTTTTTTGTCTTAAGTGTTTATTTCTGTGGGGAGCCCCTACAGCTCCCTGGAGCTTATCGGGCTAATGTATGTTATATTAGACCGGGACATTAGCTATGGAGTTCAGACCTACCAGGGACCAGCACCAGAACCTGGCACCTTCAGAGAGGTTTCAGGGAGCAATGGCCCTGGAAAACCCCCTTGTGGTTGGTGGTTTTCCTTATCTCCCATTGACCAGGGTTAGGTGCCCAGAAAGGTAGGCATAACAAAACAAAACCCTACATGTTAAGAAACTAAAACAAAAAACGAACAGATAGAAACGCCCTACAATCCCAAGGAAACAAGCAAACATCACACTTTACTGCCGCGTCGATTGTCCGCGCAGCCCTCCCCACCCCGAGAGGGGGAGGGGGACCCGGATCTCACCACGCTGGCTGCCTAGCACCAGTTCGTAAGCTAATGTCAACCGAGACAGACGCTTCTTTGGCCTCAGTTTCCTAGGTGGTGGTTGCTTTTGTGGCGTTCACTGCCATGTATTGTGTTATGTGGTGGCCAGATGTTCATCAGTACCGGGGCTGCATATGCTTAGGGGCTTCCTTTCCTAAGTGCCCTGTGAGTACTGCCCCTGCATGACAGGGTTATCTTCCCTGAGGTGTTTGGGAACCATTCCCGTAGAGGTTCTTGCTGCTTGACTTTTGCCTCACCCTTGGGACTCTTGTTTTGCCTTGGGTAGGGAATGGTATTGTGCTGGTTAAGGTATCAAGGTGTTGCATGGCCTGCCACCTACGCGGCAACCGGTTCCTGTTGCTTCTGGGGATGGTGTACTTTTGCGAGGATTTTCTTTTGTTTTTATTTTCTTTACCTGGTGGGGGTCTGCCTAGTGTGGCTATAGTTGCACTGGTAGTGTTTGGTGGCCCTCTGCTAGGCCCTCATGATTGTGTATGTCCCATGAGTTTTCAGTGTTGCATCTACCCCTTGTTAGCTTGGGTGTTTAACTGGTTAGCAACACCTTACCCAGGCTTCCCATAGCAGTCAGTCTATGGGCCCCTGGAAAACCCTATCTGGTCGGGCCTCGGTGGACCATTGGATGTGTCTTCCGGGTTCCATCTTGTTTTGTGCGGGTTCGTTCATTGCTGTGCCCTTGTCTCAGGGTGACAGTCGCCACTTTTACCTCCGTCATGCTGCCTGTTGGGTCACTGACACCTTGACCTGGAGTCTTGCGAGAGGTGTTCTCTGCTTGTTCTCCAGTACTCTTCTGATGTCCTTACTATTCAGAGTACAGGCGGCATCCATGTTGCAAGCTAGGTTTAGGTTGCTGCAATGCACTAGGTTGGTTTTCCACCTGGAAGCCCCGGAGCCGCCCCGTTTTGGTTAGGTGCTGTTCGCCCCTCTCCATCCCTGTTCCCGGCTCCTGACCGTCTGCTTTTGGGGCAGGGTTTAGTTGGTGCCGAGACTCGGGCGGCTTCAGGGGCTGCCCCATTCAGGTTGAGAATGGAGGTTTTTGAGCCTGTTCCTCCTGCCAAGGCTTCTGGGTCTTACCAGCAGCTCTTTCTATGCTCCCTGTCCCCTGGACTCTTCCTTTTCTTTAAGGGCAGAGGGAGTGGAGGATGACTCTACCCCAGGGCCTCTGTTGCAATTTCCCGGGGCTGTGAGGGATGCCCACTTGCAGTTCTAGGGTTGTTTGCCCTTGCCTGGGTCATTTGCTTCTGGGCGGGGTTTTTCATCCCTCTAGTCTGCTTGCTTTCTACATTTGCTGGCGTGTTTTCGACTCTATATTGCGTCGGTCACAGCTCCTTAGTGTGGTGGCCATTTTCTTTTCTGCGGATAAGTCCCCGCTTGGCCACCAAAGCGGCGCTGCAGTTTGTTTACCTCGGCCGGGGTGTGGAAGCTCGCATTTTTGTAAGTTTTTTCACATCTTTCAGGGGTTTTATCCTCCTGTTGCAGTTTCCTTGCTTTCTGTGGTTTTATGCCCATCTTCTGTTCTTCTGGGTGTGGGTTTTACACCGTTTTTTGTGCTTTCTGTCTGTTTTGGGTCTGTGCCCTAAGGTTTAGACTCAGTGTCTCTGTCTGTTCATGCTTTCTCCCACACCTTGTCCCCTGGTTTTTGGTCTGTTTTGATCGTTTCCCTGGGGGTTCGTAATACCGCCGGCAAATGTGGTAGTTTGGGCTCCCCCCCCCCCCTAAATGTTTGATTCCAGGTTCCTTTGGGTTATTTGGTATCGTTCCGGAGGTTTCTTCCTCTTGGGGCCCCCTTTGTGGGTTCAGAGGGTTTTTGTTACCTCGTTTGTGACCCGGTTCTGCCTTCTGGGGTTCCGGGGTCTTCCTGGCTTGCAGGAAGATCTTTTTTGGGTCTTGGCATGTGTTATGGTCATGCCGAGGCCTTGGGTTTTTGTTGTCGAGGTGGACCTTTTGGTGCTGTTTTTGTGCTCTTGGTGCCTTCTTCGTCTAGCCGGCGTGGTGCTCTCTGCCCACCGATTGGCGGCTTGTCTTTTCTTTCCTTTATTTTATTTTAATTTTTATACACTTTGTTTATGTATGTATATGTCCTCTGGTGGCATTGGGCAGCTTCCTCCCCTTTGGGGGTTCCAGGCTGGCGGGGTGGGCGTCTTCCCCTGCGCTTTGTCATGTCATCTTGGTGTGGGTGCTTTTGGACGTAGTCATTCTGCCCCATCCTTCTGAGATTCCCACCTGTTCTAGTGGGAATCTGTCCCACCTGACATGGGCCTTGCAGTTCTTCTGGACTTATACAGTCTGTGCCCTGGATTCTTTCCTCTCTTCGGAAGACTGTTGTCTCCGGTCTGGCTTCTGTTGGGGCTGGGTGCCTGGATGGTGTCCCTGGACCTCTGGGTCACTTCTTGGCACGCCATTTTCAAGAGGAAACTAGATTTATTCCTCCAAGGAGTGCCGGACCAACCGGGCTGTGGTGGGTATATGGGCCTGCGGGCCGCTCCAAGCAACAGCCTAGTGGACCAAACTCTCACAAGTCAAGTAGTTGGGGAGTAGAAGAACTCCCAGAACCCCATCAACCAGGTATCAACCAGGTTCCTCTCCAGGGTTCTGGGACTGGCACAGTTGGTGGTGGGGTTTCAGGCTTGCTGCTTCTGTTGCCTTCCCTAGTTTGTAATTGGCACTTAGTATATTTACGCATCTTTACCGGATCTTGGTGCCCTATCTGCATCTGCTCGGGATTCGGTTTCTAGCCTATCTCAATGACTGGCTGGTGTGGGCTCCTAGTCGGTCTGCTGGTCTGCTTGCCAGGAGTGTGGTTCTCTCCAGATTGCCGGCTTAAGATTCCTGGTGATCTGGAGGCCACTCCATCTGGTACCGTCCCGGGTTTTGACCTGGCTGGGTCTTGTTCAGGACTCTTGGACAGCTTCTTTGTCTTTCCCTCCAGAAGCGTTGCTGTGGCTGTGGTCCTGCCTTTGCCTGTTTATGAGGGGGTTCTGGGTCACTCAGAGGTTGTGTGGGAGTCTGACCTTCACCGTCCTGGTCTGCCCGTCGGGTCGGGTTTGGCTTCGGCATCTGTTCAGTTCCTACGGGGACTCCCCTTCCGCATCTCTCGCAATCGTTGGGTTCATCCAACAAGGATCTTGTTGGTGCTGCATCACTGGCTTCCTCTTTGGGGTTTTCGGGATTTCATGCCTTGGCGCCTCCCCGAGCCTTTGCTCGATGTGTTCACAGACGGGTTATCTCTCGGCTGGGGCTTTGTGGCTAGTGCTCACCAGGTCGGCCGGGGAT